ACGCAGTCACATAATAAGCATAAGCCTAAATTTTGAGGTGATTCCTTTCTTCCTTCAAGAGGTAGTGAGTTAGAACGAGCTTTAAATTTTAAACTTGAAGCATGAAAGTTACACTTTTCTAATAAATACTTTTCCATTTTAGGTTCACGTTTGTATCTTATGTAATGTTTTAAGGATGATTTACTTAAAGCATTGTTATACCAACTTATGTCATCTTTTTTAATATTTTTTTCTTTGAAGCCATTAAGCCATTTTGTACAATAGTCAATGTTAAAGAACATTTGTAGATCAAATTTATTTAAAATGGATTCAATATTTTGAAGCCATTTCCAACTCAGTTTTTCTTTAAGCGTAAAGAGAGCTAAATAATAATCTTGGCCAGCAGTGTCCTTCCATATTTTTTAGTCTATAAAAGTAAGTTAATAATCTTTCTGATTGAATAGATTCAATTGTTTGTGTCTCATATTATTTGTTATATTTGTATTATTCATTATTTTCACTTGACTCGCATAAATAATTTTGTTCGAAGAACATTTATATGCAGTTGTACTTCGCAGCACTTCACTTGCAATTTGCAATTTCTAGTAGGGTTGAATAAACGACACATGTACGGTAGGTTATACCAAAGACTAGCTGCTGTTTTATTTCTTCTAAGCCTATAAATTTAAAAAGTGATTGTCATTACGGCGTTAACCATTTGTTTTTACCACCGTCGGATTGCCTTTGTATAGATCGCATTCAAACATCGTCCATCCATCTACATTTAGTTATAACATTACCTAAGACAACTATAATATAGTTGTTTCATTACACAAATCATGAAATGCTTGAGACACGGTAATGTGCCGCTCTCATCAATTTATTAGTTCTGTTTGGAATATCAATGAATTGTCAATATAATGTACGATGCATTAATGCTTTAAGATTTTCTGTCACACACATCCATGTCAAATATATTTCTGCTAAAAGGGAAGTCCTTTGTACTCTAATATAGACCTAGTATTAAGGCGCCAAATAATGTTGTATTCTGAGACGTTCTGCTCTCTTGTTTATTAGGAATATGTGATGCACACTCTGGCAGTGGTGTCTCTACAATCAACCGGAGAAGCAAACTGTAACATGGCGCGAATTAATAATAATAATAATAATAATAATAATAATAATAATAATAATAATAATAAGAGCACTCAGTAGAAAGCATATCTCCGCCCACCGCAAATCTTTTTCTAGTCTATAAAAAAATCTCCCATAATATGTTCCTATTTTACTTCAACCACCACCAATACTACCCAAACTCACCTGTGGTGGCGCCAGAGGGGGGGGGGGGCGGGGCTATAGCCCGCCTCGTCGGGGAAGCTTAGCCCCACCGTCGGGGAAGACGAGTACATTCGGTCGGAGAATTTGACTACCGTACCGTACATTGAATTAACCCACTGAAACAACATATTCTTCTTCACAATGAATAATGTTCAAACATCTATTGGAACGTAAGTCAGCAGAATTATGTGTCAAGTGTCAAAACAGCGTTTTGAGACAATTTTTTAAAATGTCAGTGCATATTAATGTTATGTATTGAAATTGTTTAAAAAAGAATTAAAATGCCCCTCAACGTTTGAAAAATTCTGGATCCGCCCCTGTTCAATGGGACTAATTAAAAATGTTTTACGTTCTACTCGGGGTTCTACTATGACAAATGCTCGTTTTGATGTCCTCATGATGCTTGGAATACATCTTGATCGGGGAAGCAACCTCGTGGTTTACAGATATCAGGAAAAATTTCAAAAATTTATAATTTCACTTTGAATTAAAAGCCTGTACTCATTTCTTAATTTATCGTAGTATAATGTCACAAATTGGTGGCCTTACATTTTACAGTTATTATTATTAAGACATTATTCTTATTCGTAATTTTGTTGTTAATAAATCACAATCACATGGATTATAAAAAAATACCTGGATTTCGCCATGATAGGAGGATAGTATTGTAATGTAATACAGTGGATTTTTTTTTATAATATAAAATGTAAAACAGATTAGAAAATAAGTACATTGCTTACTCTTTGTTTCTCGTTGTTTTATTCAAAAAATTCTATTACGGTAGCTTGATGCCTATTAAATAACTAATAAAAATTCACCACAATTTGTCAAATATCCGTAGCTTCCATGGGGCTTCTCTCCCTGGACCCCCACCGGTGGCCCCTAGGCAGCTGACCCACCAGCCAGGTGAGGCTTGCTTCGCTTGTCTAGCACCTCCACCCTCTGAAGGGGCATTTAGCCCCCCCTTGCGCCATCACTGCTCAACTCACTTTTCTCCACTCCTCTTCAAAAACGCACAGTCACTTGATCTAACACTTTTTTTTATTTTAAAGGGGGCACTATTTCCACTTTTAGTATAGGTGTTTGGGGATTCTGTTTTTTATAATGGCCATTTTCAGATTTTGTAATCCGAAATGATTTCACCAAAATTCACTGTCAGCCTACTTTTCACTACACATGTTACTTTTTGAACACAGAATCCAAGCAACATATATTTTTGAAACATTTTATTTTCAAATAATGAATCAGTAAAAAAATGTGAGAATCCGCTTACTTTCCAACCACCACCTACTTCAAAAAAATAAACTAACAGGAAATGCCTAGGCCTGTTATTGTAATAGTGGTATGAATGCCAATTCCTTTCTTCTTCTGGTTGAACACACAGGATCCATTTTACTTTTATAGTTGACAAAAAAAGAAATACATGCAAAGTATTCGTGTTGAAATGAAAATATTATGCAAATAGTTAATGGTTCTTGGCGTCACATGTTTAATAAATATGCATTAAAAATATTCCCAATCAGTTCCCAAAAATTAGTACATGTAAAAAGCTGTACACACTAACTGTAATTGCACTAATTTGAATTTTCATCACACAGCTATTGTTATCTGCCTACGGTATACGATAACCCTATTTTTAAAATGGTCTTTCATATCCACACCCTACTTCGGATCGTGACCAAAATTTAAACACTTTCTTCATTAAAACATGACAAAGTATTCTGGAAAGGGTAATTTTGATCCATGATCAATTTTCGAGATATTTAGATCGTCACCAACACTTCATAATTTCTTCCTTGTAACTTGGTTAAACTTCCACGAAAGTTTCATTCGTATCAGTTGATTAGTTTTTGAAATATCTTGTCTACGTCGTTTGCTCTTAAATCCCTTTAAATGTTCCTCACATCCACACCCTACTATCGACCGTCACCAAAATTTAATCATTTCTTTATTGGATTATACCTTGCTTACTCCCTTCTGCAGCTGCCTTGTATTCATTATAAATGTTTACCGGTACTGCATTGAAAAAAGAAAGTTATGCTCCGGAGAAAACAATAATGTTTCGGGAAAGGCTACTCAGAATGTTTAAAAGAACTATATGGGATATGAGGTGTTACACCTCTTTTTTCATAGTATTTTGAATAATACACCTGTATCTTATTACTAATAGGCCTATCAATAATATTTTAATTAATAATATGAGCCATTTTCTTTAATCACCCATTCGATAACATATTCATTAGTAACATCTTACCAAAAGTCCCCCGGAGCCTGGCTTTAAGGTTTTAGTTCCTGCTTTCAGACAATAATGAATCTGTATTCCAAATGATAATTGCTTACTGATTGTTGTAATAATTATATTGACGTCAACATGTATCCAATTTATTTTCTTATTTCTAGGCAAATACCAGATTCATCGATTACACCTCGAGTTGACTCATCAAATGGAAATAGGAGAAGATACAGAATAATACCAATCATGCGTTGCATTTAATAGTGTACCTACGATTTTAAACCATGGAGCATTTGAAACAAAACTTGACAAGAAAACATTCTACACGTTGCAACAACTATATTTATGTACGGCCAATTGTTTTAAAAGGGCTATAGTACGGTACCTCACCCACTGGAAAGCAGATGTACGATTAAAGCAACTTAATGGAATTAAATTGAATAGTAAGTTGAATACCGTAGTATAAGACTATACGGGTTTCAATACTGACGATAGTAAACTCCTGAATAAGTACTTTGGTCAAGTATTCTGTTTGAATTGTTGGGTAAAACAAACAAGCTCGATATTAACAGCTAAAAAAAAAACGTCTCGAGAGAATATCGCTTTTGAATTCACTAGCTACTGCATAAGTATTATGAATTTGTTTACTTTAATGTAATCAGCTATCTCGTTGACTCTTTGCAATTGACATACGTTTAGATTAGAGAGGATTGAGTAATAAGTGACTCCATGAATTCAGCCACGTTGTCAGTAGTAAACTGTTATGGATCGACGTGTTGTTGCCCGGTCATTTTGTCTGGTGTTATACTGTAAACTTCATTAACAAGAAAAACTGCTCGTCATGATACATTTTTTCATCGTCAGAGTAATGCTTTACAATCAGTTATACATCTGGTGTGAACAAGTTCGACGGCAAGTTCGTCAGCAACTGATTTCTTGAGAGAGTCACTCTGCGCGACGCGCTCAGAACACTGTGCCTATCTTGTTCGTCACTCTGGGAATCCTTTCCCAGAAATGGGTCACTATGTATTTGCATGCCTTTCCTTGATTATTGGTTGTCTCGGATTGGTAGCAAATGCTGGCGCTCTCTATGTTTTTCAAAAAATGAAAATGATTTCTAAAACAGTAACGCACTCATTGCTATTCCATCAGTGTCTGGTTGATTTTATGAGCGCTTTGGTGTTCCTGCCATTATACCCGATCCCAGAAGTACTTGACATCTGGCAGGATCAGGATGCGTTCTGTAAAACCCGGACAGTTTACTGGATTTTAGCAGTAACTTCAACAGCTAATATGGTATATTTAACTATCGAAAGATACTATTCTATAGTTTTACCGATGAGGCATCTCGTTTTGTTCAGAGGTCGCACCATGCCGGTAGCCCTGCCAGTCACGTACGTTGCAGGTGTCATCTGTAGTGTTCACTCGTTTATAGTGTCAGAATCCGACGAACTTGGGGTATGTGATTACAACTGGAACGGAAAAACAACATTAATGATTGCCCATGGCGTGTTTATTTTCATCATCGAGTGGATGATACCCACCACGATTTTTATATTCGTTTACAGCAAAATATACCTTACTTTAAAATTATACACACTGCGTTCAAATTCGAATATAATTGGTAGGTCGATGGTGGATCAATCCACACAAAATGTTAATACCTCATCCAATAAAGGTTTAGTATCAATGGTTCTTGTTATCTTTATTACGTATCTTGTATGCTGGACGCCGAAAATTGTGTTGTACCTTCTTTCGAATTGTGGTGTAAAAGTAAATACGTACTTCATAGAATTCACAGTATTGTTGTTAACGTCAAATGTTTGCTGGAACCCTTTTATCTATGCATTTAAATACAAGGAATTTAACATAGCGGCTAAGAGGACTTGGCGAGAAGTTTTCCGAAGAAAGCCGCGAAAGACTGATAGTAAAAACGCTGAAAACCTGGAATTAAATGCTGTAGAGCCGGGTGCACACTCAATCGGATCCTCGTCGGCTGATGAGATAACATAAGGCGCATCGCGTCGACACGAGCTCAGTGGGTCGTTTTAATGACCATCCGTTCATACTCGACCTAAATTCTGCTTCTGACACAGTGTATTATCACTACACTTTTTTTTATAAGAACACATTTTATAAGAACACTGAGGCTGAAATTGCCTTAAAATTAAGAACAAAATAAGAACAAATTGAGGCTAAGGTAAAATTTCAAATGAGGTTTATATTTTTAAAAACCAAAATATTATATCTGTACATTAATAATGTGCAGTAGGTGTGACTGTAATACCCTCTATCAGTACAGTAGGTACCTATCTGACATTTGGGGGCCATTTTTATTGGGGTCACTTTCACCTACATTCCAGTACAGTGCATACTGCCGTACAATTAAATAATTTTTGGTTTAAAAGGTGTGTAAACTAAGAACAAAATAAGAACATTTTGAGCCTGAAATCGGCCAAAAAATAAGAACACTGAGCCTGGGCAAAATTTTACTGGTTTTTATTTTTTTTAAAGTGTATTTTGTTAAAATGTCTTAAGTTTAACTTTGGAGTCTGTAGGCCATCATATAATTGGTTTAAACCTTATTTGACAGACAGGACCCAAGTAATAAACTCGGATAAATTTAGTGTACACTGTGGGCGTACCCCAAGGTTCATGTCTTGGACCTTTGCTATTTAACATGTACTCTTCGAAGTTGAAGTTGTTTGGTAGGCTGATGTTAAATATAATAATTAAGAGAACCAACATGATCCATTTCCATGTAAATCCAGAAAAATACAAATTCAGTTTAACCATGGAGAGTCACTGATTAACAACGTTTTACTGCGAAAATCTCAACATTGATCCAGCCTATTTATTTAGTCAATGCTAAAAAGAAACGTTCGTAATTATTGTTTGTAATTACCAAAATACAATTCTAATTAAATAATTACAAAATAATTTAAATATTTGAAATTAATTTCTACAAATAGTCTTTCTGTGGAGATAAACGTGAACAATAAAATTTAATATTTGCATTCTAAATTTGTATTTTTGAAGACAGACATACCGCCACCAAATAACTCTAACATAAACATTAAAATAAAAATAAATGAGCAATTCATGCCTGCCAATGACATAAGAAGGTCGAATGAAAAATTAATTATCATTCCTCGCCAAAATTTGCTGGTACAGTACTGTAATGTTAAAAATGCTTGTGGTCAAGAAGTCTATAGATTATGCAAAAAATTTAATTGTTTCATCACCAATTCTCTTTTTAGTTTACATCTAGTGTCCTTTGTAATTTTTAACATTTTATGTGCCGATATTCTTCTTGATTGTAAATATTATTTTGTATGTATACAGTATATTGGGGGCCAGGGGCGAATTTAGGGGGCCAAGGCGGCCCACCATCCCGAAACTCTTTCCTTCAATTGAACGGTTACAGATTGCTCTAAGAAACACTGATTGGCACTATTGTGACCATCCACATTTATATTGCTATTACCGGGCTCCTATTCCCTATTCCTCATTTTCTCCCTTTCTGACTGCTCAGCCAATTTTATCCTCTGTGAGCGTGAATATATATATATATATATATATATATATATATATATGTATATATATATATATTATAAAGTAAATATTTTTGCGTGAATAAA